CTAGACTGGAAGGGGCAGGCTTGACTCCATCTTTGCAAGTCAAGCAACATGGCCAACACATCAAGGCAGCTCCAGTCATCTAGGGCTCCTGTGAGAGCTGGAAGGCGGCTGTCTCTACAGATGATCGCAGGTCTAGGGGGAGCGGGGGTGTCCCAGAAAGTGTATTTCATGCTCAGAAAATCCTCATCTCACCTTCAGACACTTCCCTCCCCTCCACTCATCACCTTAAGCAAAGCACCTCCATTCTTGGGTTCTCAATTTCTTCATTTCCAAAATGAAGGGGTTGAACTGGAAGACCTCTGAGGCTCTGTCACCAATGTGCCATCACCCTCTGAACTACTCCTTGAGCAGCATCTCTGGGGAAAGCAGCACCCCACTCTTGGAAGCTTTCAGGCACTTCTGAGAGTCTTCTTCCTGTTCTTTCCATCTGTATGGTAAGGGGTGTTGAACATGGAGCTGCCTACCCAACCAAGAAGTGACTGCTCCCCTTGGCTGGTGGGCAGATAAGAGTTAAGACAGGGATGCTGTGAGGTCAGTTATCTTCCTCTTTGGCCTAAAACTGTATGTGGAGTTGGGGAAGGGAGCTTTTGCTTCACGTTCTATAGTTTAATTTTAAGCGATAGAAGATAAAGGAATTCATTCCCTTTTCAGGATCCCTAAGAGATTGTGAAGGAAATTAGAAGCCAGAGTATGACAGAAGAGAAACTACACATTGCTCACTTAAGGAGCTGTAACTAAGTCTTGGTTTCTGTAGTTGAAAGTCACTGGAGCCTTCGATTAAGGAAAGGGATGAGAGTGTGGATATTCCTCTTAAGTCAATGAGAAGGATATGCCCTACCCCAGCCCCAAAATGTGTCTTTGAGGACCCAACAACTAAATAACCGGAGACACCTGATTGCTGGTGCCCAAAACCAGGACTTGTGGGTCAGTTTCCATGAGGAGGGACCATCTTAGGATGGAAGGAACTTCCTGTAAATCAATGTGCAACCTCTGAAGACACACACACAGGTCCCTGGAGGCCCAGGCAGAGGCCAAATGAGCACCTGGAAGAAATATTACATGTAAAGGCTTAGGACCACCTCCTCTGTGCTCCTGCTTAAGTTACCTTACTATATTGTTTAATATAGTAATATACTATATATATAGTGTGTATATATACATAGTATATATATAGTATAGTATAATATATATATTAATATAGTAATACACTATAGTATATTTAATATACTATAGTAAGTATAGTATATTCAAGTTCTGCTTGAATACTGATCAGAATATGAGGTCTTGTGCCTTTTATTTCAGCTTCTCCAGTGATCTGGCCCAGAGCAGCTACACACTAGATGCTGAATGAATGAATGAATGAGTTAATCAGTGGATGGATGAATGAATGAATGATTCTTACATAATAGGTAAATTGAACTAGGGTTTCTTCAACCCTGAGACTGGACAGTTCAATGAACTAGGCGTGAATGAGAATCACCCCCTGCTCCAGTGCTTAAGCCTGGAGGCGACAGTCCTTCCTCCTGACATTTCCTCAGAGCAGAACGGCCAGGCACTTGTGGAGCAGGGCTCCCTGTCCTCCTGGTCGGTCACCCTCAGTGGAACCTCTGCCATGGAGAGGGAGAGGAACAGGGGCTGAGATCTTCTGTCCCATTGGAACTCTTCCATTCAGGCCAGTTCGATGTGTCCCATCAAGCCACACCCTTGTGGCTGAAATACGAAGGCAGTAGAGAACCACCAGTGGCATCATTCGTGAGGTTCTAGGAAGGGTACAAAACATCTCCCTGGTGGTTGCCTGAAATCCCCAAGTGGGGAGCATTAATAGTTCCTTTGTGTCTTGAGAGTAGTCTAATTTCCCTTCCGTTATAATGCTGGCAGACCTCGTTTTATTGCGCGTCAGATTTTTTAACAAATTGAAGGCAAGACCCTCTACCAGCAAAATGATTATGACTCACCTTGTTATGATACCCACTTGATTGTGGTGGTCTGGAACCAAACCCTTGATCTTTGAGGTCTGCCTATACATATGAGTGTAAAAGGGAGAACAGGCATCCTCGGCCTTGGTTTGTTCGTGAAGCAGCTCCTGCCTCAGGGCCCTCTATGATAGAACCGCCTGAAATGCTCTGCTCCCCCTCTCCCTTACACAACAGAACGTGGCCCTTCCCTCCCTGGAATTCAGCACATTTGTCACTCGTGTTGGGACAATCTACCTGGCTTCTGGGTCTGCGCCCAGCCTCCTCCATGCCCATCGTTCCCTGCTTCCACGTACAAACCTCGCGTTTCTCCAGACCTGCCTTCCCTGTTCCCACCCCTGGCCCTCTGGTTCAGGCCCTTCCTGTCATCTGGCCTGCTTGACCCCTTTGAATCTAGGGTCCAGCTCTGCTCGGCCAGCCTGGATGTCAAAGTTGGGGCACACCAGTTGCCTAGTTTCCTCCATGTCAACAAAATGGGAGACTAGTATCAGTGCCATCAACCTCACAGGATGGTTGTACTAACTTCCTGATTGTGAAAATGGCTTAAAACTTCCAAGTGCTACACAAACGCAAGATTTTCATACTGCTGCTCCCAGAGGACCAGCAAACACAGGCACATAGGGTCAAGTTGGATTTTTAAAGTCTGTCACCAGGATGCTTTAGAAAGCATTTGATCCATGGGGTTGCTAGCTAATTGTCCAAGTGTGGCTAGAGGGCGAGTTCAATGTGAGAATAATCTTCGGCATTTATTTTGTTGTGTTTACCATGAAAATCCACTATTAGTCATTTGAGAGTTGAGTGGATAAATCCCCAATGGACTTTTCTTTTTTTTAGGCTGAGTCTTTGAAATGAGACAGGATTCTCAAGTGCTAGAAAGATGACTTAAGTAATGACTTTCCTCTTTGAAGACTGAGGTCTGATCTTTCCAATGAATCATGGCAAATGCTTGATACATTTTTCCAAAACTTGTTTATCCACTTCTACTTATAAACAGGCCCAAATTCAAAAGGATCTGCCTCCCACTTCTATCCCCCAACCACCCAGTTCTTCCAAGAGGCAACCACGTTTCTTGTATATTCTTTCAGAGATAATTGCCATTCCAACAAGTTCCTCAATTAGATTCTTTTACTTAACATTTTGTAGGTTTTTTATTATAAAGAACTTCCTCTTTTTACGGCTGTGTACCATTCATAGTAATGATGGAGCTGCAGGGGCTTTCCAGGCATGTGCTATTTAACAAAGCTACACCCAATACTTGTGAGTATACATGCAGGATGCCTGCTAAAGGTTGGACCTCTGGGTCACAGGGCACGCACATCTGAAATCAAAGGTACTGTCCAGCTATCCTGCAAGGTCCTTTTACCAAGTGATTCCCCACCAGTAGTGCCCAAAGCTGCCTTCTCATCAGCACAGCCTTCTAAACTTTCCGATCTTTGCCAACTTCTATCTTGGACCAGCGCTTTTGGCTTTATTGTTAGACTCATTCCCCAATTTGAATTTATTTTAGCTTTCCAGCTAGTCTAAAACCAGATGGCAGTCTTCTGACATCTAGTATAAACTTCAGGAAAAGCAAAAACAAACCCTTCCTATGCATTATAATTTTATCCAAATGGCCATTATACCTTAGCTTAGGGTATGAGTTGTTCCTTATTTAACCTAATAGTTGGCCTTTTTTCAAGTTCTGAAGTGTATGGGGGTTGACAGCCGGATATACCGTAGACTTCAGAGGATCCAGGTGAGCAGCATAAGCAGATTTGGATGTACACACACCTTTAAGGTCAGTTTTCGTTTTAAAGCGCATCTACTGTGATGGACTCTTGAACACCATTTTGTCATCCAAGAGTATACTATCCTCCTTAGAGGCCTGTTATGAAGTTTCTGTATATACCTGCCTAGACCCAGAAATGTCTTAATTTTAGGTTACTAGTCTTTTAAAAGGAGAGCTGGAATTAACCAGTGCAATTTCGACTGCTATAAGACACACTAAAGATAACAAAATTATTTCACTGATGTAATTTCACATTTACAAAAGCATCAAATCTGGCCATTTTATGGGTCCCCAGTCTCAGCCACCAATATAAGTCTAGGTATTTCCATTCTACCACAGTAATTTCCTATGTGGTATGACAAAATATAACAGAGCTATAAAGACTTGACCTTTCCCCAGCAGGGGTGCCCACCCCGTGGCCCAGGATGCCTACGAATGCAGCCCAACACAAAATTGTAAATTTACTTAAAACATTTAAGATTTCTTTTGTGATTACATGTTGCACTGTATTTAATGCGTGGCCCAGAGATGCCAAAAGGTGGGTCACCCACAGGAACATGTAAGACTTATCTCTGGGCACACAGCACCAGTTAGAAAGTCCCTAACATATTGTAGGCTCGCACGCAGTGACTCTATTATGACATACTTTCATCCAGATAAAGCACCATTCTCCCCTAAGGGAGATAATATAAACCATTTAATGCTACTGCTGCTGGAAAAATCTCCAAACTCCTCGGATCATGCATTCAGTCTGTGAAAGATTTTTAAACATCTCACCACTAGATAGAGTCCCCAAATTCTCCCATCAAGATTTCACTCTCAAGTTGAGATGTACCACAAATAATGTAAGACTGTAGGCTCCAAATTGGCCCTAATTTTAAAACATGCTTTGGGCCATGGCAGGGTTGATGACCATTTTGGAGGGAAGACAGGAAGGAAAAAAAAGTTGGACCCCTATAGTTAAACCACTTGACAACTTTTAATCCTCTATTTTACCATCCCATCCCCGACATTTCCACAATCTTTACAACACAAAGTAACAGCTATTTAAAAAGCCAAGACCTAGGCTAGGGCTGCAACAAAGTCATACTTTCAGCTGATCACACTGCTGCTCTACTCTCAAAGGACAACTCTAAAGTGAGTATACATACACATTCCTTAACAATTTCAATACTACACACACACACACAAATATTGTCAAATTCTCCAAACTCCTAAAGCTACATGTTATATTGACAAAAACAGACATGAAGCCTGAATTTGGGACAATTAAAGAAATAAGTTACAAAAATTTTATTTTTCAAATCCAAGGCAAAAAAAATTCCCAGATCGGAATCATCTATTGGGAACTACTACGTAGAAACATATGAACACCTATTATTAGTGAAGTATTATCACAATTTATTTCAGAATCAAACTAGTTTAGTCGATGACTGACACACATAAAATAGGCAAATGTGACAAGGTTCAGATTTTACTTATAATTTACTTGAACGAGATCAATCTCCTCAGTCTAGCTTACTTCTCCTAAACTATGGATTATTTCATGCCCTTGGCCTTGGGGGTCAGAAGAAATCAATTAAAAAAAAAAAAGAGCTGTGAGTGAAGATGCATTGTGATGTTGTCCCAAATGCGTGAGTTATTTTCTCCTTGAAAAGGAAGACCCCACGGCCTCCATTGCACTTTTATTTGAATGTAATATTTGAGACAATTGTCCTAAAAAGCTGATATTTCCCAATTAATCTGAGGTCATAATAAAACAAGCAACAAAATAGTATTTGTGATTTTGGTTTCTCACCCTTATTATCAAGACTCACTGCCTCCCATCATCAATATTTATTGAGCATTTACAGTGTACTAGGCACAATAGAACATACAAGAAAACATTGTCCCTGCTCTAGAGGAGCTTACATTCTAAAAGAAAAAATACACCTCTTTTAAAATGGTATTTTTGTTTGGTGTTTTTGCAAGGTACTGAGGAAACAGGTTGTAGGGTGAGCTTTGGGTATAACCTAGCCCCATTATTGAATGAAGAGAGGAAGGAGGAGGATTTTAAAGCAGCCAATGACAGACCTTTCAGGATGGTGGAGTTTTACAAGGAGGTAACACAACCTCATGAAATAAGGAGACCCGCTGCAGTGAACAGGGGGAGGGAACCTGTGTGGGATGCAAGCAAAAGGAAGCAGGGTGTCCTCAGACACTGAGTGGAGCCAGAAAGATCATGCGGCCTTCCCCCAAGTGTATGGCCACCAAGTAGGAGTGGTTGCTGACAAGACAAAAGGCTAAAAAAGATAATCCTGTGCACCCGACAAATAGAAAGGCAGGCTATAAGAGTATCAGGAAATTCTTAGAAACAAAAGTGATTTGGAAGCACAAAACTTACGGTTAACGCTACCCAATGTCACGATGGGCCAAGAACATTGTGGCTTCCGAAGTTAGAAAAAGCCATGTACTAAAATTTTAAATGGAACAAACACATTACCTCACCCCCCCAATCAACCCCACATCTTAAAAACAAAACAAAAAAAACACACAAAAACTATCTTTCCCCTCAGGGGGTTGCGGGGGGTGGGGGTGGGGAGGGAGCATGGGATGTGGTTGGGAACAGTAGTTCTAGTAATAGTATTTTGTTGTTATGATAAACTTTGTATTTAAACTTGGTAAAGCCCATTAGCTGCCAAAAGGGAGTAAGGAATAAATTTTCAAAAATGTACAATTTTCTTTAGAATTGGTTTTAGAATTGGTTTTAGAACCAAAAGACTAATTTACATGAAAAGCTGTAGAGAAGTAGTTGAAAAGTCCATTCATAAAACTTTTATTCCACTTACATGAACTTAATACACGTGTTCTTAACAATTATGCTTAGATTGTTCATGAAAATTTCATAAGACATTAACAAAGCTAGCCATCATCTCAAGTTATTTCCCTGTTAACTATTTTTACAGCACATGCATGTTAGGCAAGTATCAAAAAAAACAAAAACAAAAACAAAAACAAAAAAAACAAAAAACAAAAACAAAAAAAAACCCAAACCCCCCAAAAAACAAAACCCAAAAACCAAAAAGCAAAACAAAAACAAAACAAAACAACAAAAAAAGAAAACCTAAAAAAAGTTAAATACATGGGTTTTTGTTTGTTTTACTGCTATGCTTGATATACATACAGTAATGAATACCAAGCAATTAATTTTACTGCATCTTTACTTGTACATTTGTTCTTCGGTTGCCTAAAACATTTAAATACAAATAAAATGAGTGTAGCAAAAATAATGAAAGCAAACAGCAGGTAACTTTACAAATAATGGAATGTGAACCGTTTCTGCCTTTATCCAGAGTAAGCTGGGTCACAACTAAAGGAACACTTCTGCAGCTGCAGTGAAAGGCGTGCACATCGAGATGGAGTATTCCACAGATACACACAGGGTTCATGTGCATTACCCATGGGGCAGCCATTTCTATCTACTACAGCCCTCTAAGTGCTCCAAACTTTTAAGTACCCACAACAACTACACCTGTGACTGGAACCAATGATCCCTTTTATTCCCCACCAGGACAAACCAATATGTAGGCAGTTTTCTTTGCTTAGATAACATGGAAGCAATTTTAGCACTGGCTCTTGTGAAGCCACAATGTACCAAAAGTACTACGCCAAACATTTATAACTTGTATAAAAATTCCACATCCCCATATTGGCCACCTCAAGATGAAAACATAACTCCCTAAATATTAACTGGCTCTACTCCCCTAATATTAAACATAAAAACCACATGGGAAATATAGAAATTCAAATAGAAGTAACATAAACCTGTCATAAATCGTAAACAAAAAACTATTTGTGGGACAGCATGGATGACAAATGGTCTACTGTGTAAATTTGAAAATGAGGCAGACAAAAGTTTGAAGGCCCGTTAATTTTCTCCTCCTTCTCCTGCTTCAGCTTCGTCTCCTTGGGTATCCGATGTCCACAACTGGTTAAAAAAAAAGGGGGGGGGAATAATTTTTCAGCATGTTTCACTTTGGGGGAGGGAAGCCCCTTAATAATTATGCCAAGGTACCAGAATGCAATCGTGGTTTTTGTTAAAAGGGTTTCTAAAAACAAAACAAAACAAAACAAAACACCCCAAAAAGAACAAAAAACAACAATAGCACTGAAGATAATTTCAAGATATAAACATCTCACTATAATATATTTATTTTCTCCCTAATTATTTTGTAAGCATGGTAAGCAGAGATATCTTCAAATAACAAAGTCAAATATGGGAAACTCTTGGTTAGTCATAGAAAGTGAAGAGAAAACAAAAGTTATCAGAATAGAAGACTGTCCTGAATAGCTCCAATGAGACGGATGTAGGAGTTTAGTGTAATGAAACCAGAATCATCTAATCTGGCCTATGTTCAAGATGCTTTCCCCTGGTAGAATTTAGACTCCCACTCCAAAGAGAATCCCACACTTCATGAAATTCAAGAGTCAGGATAATGAACTAAAATACAAATTTAGCCTTCCTAATATTTTTAGCTTAGAAAAATATATTTTATGAATTTGTCTGATTTAAAATAAAATAGTTGAACACAAACCAGTATGGTCAGAACCAAATCTTCTAAGAGGTAAAAAATGAATTGTCCCATAGTGGTAGAATTATGGATTTGATTAATTTTCTCATTAATGTTACAGGGTTTCCAGCAGGTTAAAAAAATAAATCTAAGCTGTTTCAAATATTAATATTTTACAAGTCTTATCATTATATAATCTTAGAGGTAATTATAAAAATTGATTCAAGATGACTTTAAATTTTATATTGCTTACACATTGAAAAACTAAGTGGAAAAAAATCTCAATATTCTTCTAGCTCCCAAATCACCCATTGGTTTTATTAATTAACTAAATGTATGTCTGGCCTGGGAAGGAGACTTCTTCCAAGGTCAAACAGTTAGCTAATTTGACTTCTGGAAGCCTGTGTGCTCCCATTAAAGAGGGAATTTTTTAAGATAAAATGAGATTGTCTTCTAGTATCTCTTTCCAGGTGTAACCTTCAAGGAGATTATTTTTACCTATAAACATGAAAAAACTTGATACAAAATATTCTTCCTAGAGTTAATGTTGACAGTATCTGGTCAACCAGATCCCAATTCCAGTACTAGGGAGTTTGGGAAAAAACTCCTTACTTGACAGGTAACAGCTTAAATCAACCTATGATGGTGATGGCACTGCCAAAGCTCACAGAGAAGACACACAGTCAACAGAGACAGAATCAGAACCTTTTCTTCTCACTCATTTGTTACAAAATGCTCTTTATGCTATACTGATACCCACATTCAGCTGAAAGTATATTTCAGACCAGGACCTCTTAAAAGTGACAGACAAATACAACATTGTAACTAGGTCTCACGTTCTAACTTTTAGAATAATTATCTCACCACTTCAAACAAGGAAAATAAAAAAAAAAAAACTATTACTAAAATTAGCTAGCAAATTGAAGTGCTTCTTTGACATAAAAAGGTTCATTCTTTAAGAAACCATGGTTTATTTTCTTGATTAAAAAAAAATTCTAACAAGTTTGTAGGTAGCCCACCAATTCCACTTTCTAAAATAATTTTAAGAGTTTAATAATAATAAACAGGTATACAACACTGCTTAAGAACTCTCTGTGGAGAACATTTGACACTAGAATGTACAACTGGTTCAGGAAATTGGCAGTGGACTAGAATAAAACTGGAAGTGAAATGTATGAAATGATTTACAGTCCTCAAGAGAAAGAGCAAATAAAAACCAGTAGCCCTAAACTATATAATCTCCATTCCTAGCCATTACCTGGCACAGAGCAGATACTTGATAATTTTTTCACTGAACTTTAATAAATTTAATCTGAAGAAGAATGGGAAAACCCACAGGACCAAAAAGATGTATCAACAAACTGCAATGTGTATGTAAACTTTATGAAAAACAGAGATAACTGCAATTTGAATAACTGCCATTTGAATACTACTGAGATATTTAACATAATTAAGGAACTACTGTCAATTCAGTGTGATAATGGCAATGTGATCCTTTTTTCGTCTGGAGTATACCAAAGACAATCATGACCTTTTTTTTTTTTTTTACAAGAGACTAGGCAGAATAGATTTCTATTTAGATTCTGAAGAGTATCTAAAATTTTCTAAGTCAAGTTATTAACCCCTACCATAGCTATATAAATATGGAGATCATTTACAGTCAAGAAAACTACAACTTCAGTACACTTATGATGCTAAAAGTCAAACTCTTCTGTGATTAAAATGGGGGAAAAGGGGGGGTGGGAGGAATCACCCAGAGTGGAACAGAAAATAAAATGGCCTACGTGTTTAAAAGTCAAAAACCATGAATTACAAAATTATTTTTATTTATTATTATTAATTTTCACCTGAGGACATGTTTATTGATTTTAGAGAGACGAAAGGGGAGAGAAGAGAGAGAAACAGAAACACTGATTGGTTGTTTCCTGTACCAGGGATCAAATCCGCACTTAGGTATGTACCCTTACTGGGATTCAAACCCACACACAATGATTTTAACAATATATATTTAAGTAATGAAACTGTACATTTTTAGTCCTTGGTCTAATATTTCAGTTTCTGTATGTAAGTTGTTTTTTTTTCCCCTGCCAGTCTTAACAGTAGATAGGATTTTGTATTAAAAAAAAAAAAAAAAGACCAAAAATATTCCTTGCAGTAATCTATACACCACCACCTCTTCAACCAGATTAACCGTTAATGACGCTATTCTGTACTTACTGTCAAGTTGTCTCTCAGTAATTGCATTATTAGCGTGCTGTCTTTGTATGACTCTTCACTTAATGTATCAAGTTCAGCAATGGCTTCATCAAAAGCCTGTGATTGAAAAAAGTACATTTCAGTCCCCAAATAATGAAGATCACTATATTTCCATATAACAGGTAAAATACATACTGTCTTTGCAAGAGAGCAGGCTTTCTCCGGGGAGTTCAGAATCTCGTAATAGAACACAGAGAAGTTAAGGGCCAGACCCAATCTGATAGGATGTGTTGGCTGCATTTCCTTTTTGCTGATTTCAAAAGCTTCTTGGTATGCTTGTTGTGACTGATCCACAATCCCTGGATAATAAAACACATCAAAATGTATTGATAAAATTTGCACTCCACCTCCATCCCTCAAGCCAAACCTATAACATCCAATGATATCCTATAAAATATTAAGATGTAGCAAGCTTAACTGAATGAAGTTCTTTAATTTACAAAATAAGCTTCTTTCAGACCACCATACTAGCTATTGGTTAATGTCAAGACAAAAATGACTCTGTAATTGTTTCCCTCTCAGACCCCTTCCCCACATACAGTGCCACAACAAAGTGACATGGGTTACCCCACCCGGGTGAATACCTAAGGCTCCATCCCTCACTATATAACAGGTGCGTGGAGAAAAAAAAAAAATGGCCCAAATGAAAGAACAGATCAAAGCTCCAGAAAAAATACAATTAAGTGATGAAGAGATAGCCAACCTATCAGATGCATGGTTCACAACACTGGTGATCAGGATGCTCATAGAATTGGTTGAATTTGGTTGCAAATTAGATGAAAAAATGAAGGCTACACTAAGTGAAACGAAGGAAAATGTACAGGGAACTAATAGTGAAGGGAAGGAAACTGGGACTCAAATCAACAGTGCGGACTAGAAGAAAAAAAGAAACATCCAAGCAGAAAAGAATGAAGAAACAAGAATTAAAAAAAAAAAAAAAAAAAAAGGACAGGCTTAGGATCTTCCAGGACATCTTTAAATGTTCCAACATCTGAATTATAGGGGTACCAGAAGAAAAGGAAGAGCAACAAGTGGAAAAGTTATTGGAATAAGTAATAAAGGAGAACTTCCCCAATCTGGCAAAGGAAATAGACTTCCAGGAAGTCCAGGAAGCTCAGAGAGCCCCAAAGAAGTTGGACCCAAAGAGGAACACACCAAGGCACATCATAATTACATTACCCCAGATTAAAATTAAAGAGAGAATCCTAGAAGCAGCAAGAGAAAAGGAGACAGTTACCTACAAAGGAGTTCCCATCAGACTGTCAGCTGATTTCTCAAAAGAGACCTTACAGGCAAGAAGGGGCTGGAAAGAAGTATTCCAAGCCATGAAAGGCAAGGACCTACATCCCAGATTGCTCTATCCAGCAAAGCTTTCATTTAGAATGAAAGGGCAGATAAAGTGCTTCTCAGATAAGGTCAAGTTAAAGGAGTTCATCATCACCAAGCCCTTATTATATGAAATATTAAAGGGATTTATCTAAGAAAAAGATAAAAAATATGCAGTAAAATAACAACAAACTCACAAGCATTAACCACCACACCTAAAACAAAAACAAAAGCAAACTAAGCAAACAACTAGAACAGGAACAGAACCACAGAAATGGAGATCACATGGAGGGTTATCAATAGGGAGTGGGGGGGCGGGGGACGGGGAGAGAAGAGGAAAAGGTACAGAGAATAAGCAGCATAGGTAGTAGGTAGAAAATAGAAAGTGGAGGGTAAGAATAGTATAGGAAATGTAGAAGCCGAAGAACTTATATATACAGCCCATGGACATGAACTAAAGGGGGAGGGGGGATGTGGATGGGAGGGGGTATGCAGGGCAGAGGGGAGTGAAGGGGGAAAATGGGACATCTGTAACAGCATAATCAATAAAATATATTAAAAAAGGATGATTCTATAATCATCTCAGTATTATCTTTTATCAATTTGCACTGCTGTATGTAATGCTGTGACTGTTGTTTCTTCAAACTATGAGGAAACATTTGTATGCACAAAATTGGCTTTTCTGCAAGCATACATTTTAGAATACCAATATTAGCCAGCAGATATCCTTCTCCCTCCTTGTTGAGCTTTTTTTTTTTTTTTAAAAAAAATTCTTGTTTCTTCATTCTTTTCTGCTTGGATGTTTCTTTTTTCTTCTAGTCCACACTGTTGATTTGAGTGCCAGTTTCCCCCCCTCTCTAAACATATATAAATAAAATCTTAAAAAGAAAAGCTCAACAAAAAAACGTGCATATACTTCAGAAAGAGACCACTTCCATAATGTTATTTTATACAAGTTCAATAAACAGGTTAGAAACACAGCATACCTTTCTTGTCATCCCCAGCAGCAACCTCAGCCAAGTAACGGTAGTAGTCTCCTTTCATTTTCAAATAGAAGACTTTGCTCTCTGCTTGTGAAGCATTGGGGATCAGGAACTTTTCCAAGAGAGACTTAGGAAGAAAAGAAAGTCATAATAAGAATAAAACACAAAACTAAAAGAACCTGTATTTCTTAAGAGCATAATAACCTAAGTTATGAAATTTTAATAATGGTCATCGCCAGTAATACAGTAGCTAAATGCAGCAGGCTCATGAATTTGTGGCTTAAAAGCAGAATGTTTTAGATAGCAACACTTAAAATTTGAAGTGTGTTCAGTTTATTACTCAAGTTTCATACATTTGAATATTACCCTCCCCTCTCTCCCATAGTGCAATCTATTTACATGTCAATATAGACTTCCTGTTTCAATGAGTTCATAACATTTTCTAACAAGCTGGCAAGCTTTCCATTTTCAAAGTTGTCATAATGTTAGGAAAAAACATGAGATTAATCTTTTGGGACTTGAGAGGATTAATGACTTAAGCAGAAACTACTAGAAACTACCAGAGTCCATTACAAAGAAAACAAAAATTAACTTCATTTGTAACACAATTCAAGGAACACCTCACAACAGATAAAGATCTTCAAAGTATAAGTTAACTAAACTAAGACAGTGGCAGAATTACGAAAATTATAGTTCTGAAGAGTAAACCTTTAATTTCATTAAAGGGGTTTTTAGCTAACAAGATAGATTTACAAATCACTTCTAACAGATAAAACTTCTAACTGAAAAACGATCTAAACTAATTTTAATCCTAACATGCTAATAAGTATATCCTATAATTGATTTAAAGCAGATATTCATACTGGGGGGGAAGTAATAATAAAATAGTGATTTTTCTCCTCTTAAAGGGAAAATATAATCCTGTTAGCAGAATTAGGAAAATGTTTAAATAAAATGAAAGACTCTCACCACTCATTTTCCCCTTACTAACTATGCTTTTGGAATCAAGGTGAAAGTCAATCTTCAACTGGGCTCAGTCCCAAACAAGTCAATTTTACAAGGAAAAAAGGGTACCTAAAATTCTTGGTTTCTATTTTTCTGGTACTTACCTTAATATGCAATATAATATAAAAATGCTTCTTAAAAAACTCTAACTTTGTGTTTACCCCATTGTTATATCCCAGTGGTGAGTATGTGAATAGACTTTAATTCGCCTTCTCTCTCCTGTGTATGAGGTAAGTAATAAGCTACAGACACCCAGACGAAGTGAGTAGTGGCCAAGGTGGCAGTAGGGCTAAGCTGCAGTGTATTATAAAACAGGAAACAAAGGTGACAGAAGTCAACCTGAAATGTCTCCTGTGATTAACTAATATTTAAAACTACTGGTTTCAAACCAGAAGAGCACTTTGACCAGTGCTTTCATATTCAAAGACCTCTCAGCTGAAGAGTATTTTGACCGCTGAACATGCTCTTTGGGGCATGAAAACTTTGAACACTATGGCTGCTCTTTGGGGATCTGCCTTGAACAAGAGAAGATAGTTCCATTTAATACAATAAGCAGATTTTTTTTCACTTAAGAAACAAACCAGCAGGCCCTTTTAAGGTAACTAACGTTATTCACTCAACTATAGGACAAGGTATAGCACAGTGGTTTTGGAATCACTTTAAGTTTAAACCATGGTAACTCCCCACTTTTAAGGGCAAATTCTTTTTTGATTGGCTAAGCGAAAACCTAGACTATAAAGTGCAACAAAGAAACAGTGTAATGTGATTAAAGAATCCAAAAATAACTTCAAATTAAGTAATGGGAGAAGATACAGAAATTTTAAAAGTCTTCATATACAACTCAATTGTGAACTGCTCTCCAGCTCACTTACAATATTTAAGATATTAGAAAGTGAAGATATTTTCAAATAAAGTAACTAATAACAGCCAAGCCCAGGCACAAAATCCATTCCCTACCTAAGGCATTCCTATTCATATTTTACAGCTTCAAAATTCTGTACATCCATTTATTCTCCAAATACTAAATGCCACTGTGCCAGGCACTGAGAAAATGGTGAGCAAGATAGTCTCTGGTTTGTGGATAAGTGGTCTAGCAGGGAAGACAACTGAAACTAAGAATAACACTCCTTAGTCACGTCCTTCACTTTTCAATTACGTCAACCCACTCTCTGTATGTGTAAAGATGCAGGCCACCAAACATGCAGGTGGTTAAGGGTGAAATCATTTAAAAGATGTAAAACTTTAAAGTATACATCAGAAAACTTGTAAAGGTATTTAGAAATGGTGTCAATAAATGTTATGAGAATTACATCTTTTATGAGTAGTAACTTTTGCACCCCTAAAAATGTTGTTTTACACAAAGGTAAACTCATACAGAGAATTTTTAAAATAGCATTTAAGCACATCTTCTCCCCCAAGGTGAACACTAAATTAGCTATTACATCTGATTAGAAGAATAATAGCAACAAAAATAATTTTAAATCTACTAACCAGAACCCACAAGTAACAGGAAAGTTGAAGTAACAACACTCAGGCTGCACACTGGTGTAATCATGGCCAAAAGAACCAAGTATCAATCATGGCCAATGTTTCTGGTGAAATGCTGACTGCAGTAAGTTGACTAGGGATGGGGAGGCTGGGGGGAGGGAATGTCACTTTGTAGAGTGAGATTTCCTAATCACTACGCCATACACCCGAAACCAATATAAAACAATACTGAATATAAACTATAAGTGGAAAATAATTTTTTAAAAAGCTGAGACAATAAATCCATCAAATTGTACATGTTAAATATGTATAGTTCTTTGTATATCAATTATACCTCAATTAAACTGTTCAAAATAAAGGAAGTTGAGAGAGGGTAAATGGCATACTTCTTTCTATCAAATCTTCCAATTATATAAAGCTAAGAACCATTATGATTTGAAAAATAAAAGGCAAGAAAGACTGGATTAAAGATCTAAGGGACTAACCAACACATTGATTCAGAAAGCTAAGTATGAAAACAGAACTGAGGCAGGCTGTCTCCAAAGACGGCCTCCATCCACCACTTCCCTTGTGGACCCTGTTCATGTACTTGTATGCCATACCTCCTCCTGTCAAGAGGTAGGACTTTATTTCCTTTCCCCAGAGATGGGGGCTTACTTTGTTGACTTGCCTGGACAAACAGAATATGGTGGAAGTGACTGCAGTTCCAGTTCTGGGCCTAAGCCTTAAGAGGACTGGCAACCTCCCCTTTTGCTTTCGTGGAGAGCAGAGGCATCATGCACAAAGTCAAACCACTCTGGCAGCAGAGAGAAAGGCCAAGTCAGCTCCAGTCATGGCAGATGTTATCAAGTGAAGCCACTTGGTTAGTTATTTCAGCCCCAGCTGAATGCAGAGCAATGAGAGACCTCAACCAATACTATGTGAAGAACGACCAACAGAGTCTAGGCAAGCCACAGAATCACAGAATAAATCTGTTTTAGTCACTATGTTTTGATTGGTTTGTAATGCAATAGACAAATCAGAAAAATAATCATAACATTATTTCAGTAACAAACATAACATTTCGACACTTCATTATGCATTTATGGATTATTTAATTGACCCTTCCATAACTTTACCTATGAGGCAGAAACTACAATTATCTCTATCTTATAAAAGACAACATAATGCACTGTTTAAAACTACAGCTAACTTGTGAAAATACAATTCCAACTAGGCAATTGACCTGTACTACCATTCTTACATTTTCTCTGGATGATATGTCTACTAAAAAGGATGCGATCCCAAGATATTAATAAAATTAGACGGAAGTTAAAGAAATGATTCCGTTCTACACTGGGCATACAAGACCATATCTACAGTGTATTGTTGTTGTTGTTTTTTAAATGTACCAAGACAGGTATTTTCAAACTGGAGAGTATCCAGGAAAGCAAGCAAGAATGATAAGGAAACTACAAACTGTCACGAAGATCGAAAAACTGTGTATGAATGACTCCAGAAGACAAGATTAGTAAAGTTTAGGTAGAGGCAGACGTCTGCTCTATATGAAAAAACTTTTATAAATGGTCCAAGCTTGGAATAGGCACCACCCAGGTGAATAGTGAATTCCACTCTTCTCATAGAGATTTTAATGAGAAAATGAATCACTTGAGAGAATATTCATAAATCAGATGGCCTCATTAAACTCTAATGAAAGATATGGAAGATAAAGAGCTCATTGCATTAAGATAATTGTAACACTAAACAGGTGGGTGGTTGAGTATGTTAATTTGTCAAACTGACCAAAGAAAAATAAAAGTTCAATTCTCTAGATTTGGAAGCCAGGAAAAAAGAGGCAAACATAGGTAGAATAAGAATAAGAACAAACAGGAAAAAAGAAAACACTACTTATCAGAAAGCAGCAGTGATAAGAAAAAAACTGGGAGCAAACAAAATAGAAAATGGGAGAGACAAAGGACTAATAGGTATTTTCAAGATATACAAAACTGAAATCTGAATTTAAAAGGGACACACAGTGTTCTGTAAGAAGTGTGGATAAGGCCTGTCACAACGTCAAAAAAGGTTAGGCTGACTACTGATGTCCCTTCCATTTTTAAGATTATTCACGTAATACTGCACATTAACTTTCTAATCCAAATGTTAATTTACAATGGAAAAAGTTAAGTCAAACACAGTCTTTATAAACATCTTATACTTACGCATGGAACTGAAGCTACGAAGTTCATCAGAGTATGAGTCTCACTGAACTGTAATTTGACTTAGAAATTCACAGTATTTTCTAAAGCAATTTAAACTGTTAAAAAACCACAGTCACTGTCTTTTAAAGATATCATGGCTAACATTTTAAAAAATACCTAAGATTAATTTAGAGTTGAGGAATATTTCAAAGCCCATATCCAATTCCTCTCTATAAATGATTCATAACCCAGAACTAAACACACGGTTTGGAAGACAGGGCACTGAACCTTACTTAGTCTAATCAACGGGTAAAAGAAAATTATGTCAGGCTTGAGATCTTAGTAATAATGTATTTTCCTCTACCACATTGATAATGGGTTGGCCAAAATGTCCCTTAACATTTTCCTATGGCTCTAATAGTGCTTAGTTGTCTTTAAATTAGAACAATTTTGTTAG